CTCTCTGGCTTTTAAGTCTGGGTGTCTGTAATCACAGGCACACATGTCCCGAGCTCACGCTCTGAAGTGCTAACACACTTGTGATAACTGTGATAATGTGATAACACATTATCACACGTGGGTAATGCAACCTGGGAGGAAAACAAAGCTACAGGTGGCAGCTGCAGAGGCTCACGGCTAAGGCAAACAAGAGCCTGAGTTACTCCATTTTTTTTCTTTTTTCTTTAGATTTATTTATTTAAACAAGAACTGGGGTACAGGCCAGAGGCGCGGCAGGAAGAGAGAATTCACCAGAAACAGAGCGGGGAGCAGAACAGGCAGAAGACCGAAAACATTGCTGAGGGGAGCAGCGCTGCACTCAGCCCGCTGTGCCACCGGGGAGGCCCCGAGTTACTCCATTTTCCTGACACCCAGCAGGCCACCCAGTCACTGCGAGACCCTGCATGGGTGTGCTCTTTTCCGTCCTGTTCATGGATGAGCTGTTGTTACTGAGCTTATGGCCTTGCTAACACAGAGACCGATACCGTGATAGCAGGAAAAGAGGAAAAGCTTTATTGCAAATGGTTGGCAAGGAGGTAGGTGACCGACTCGCCTCTACCTCCCCGACTAAGAAAGGGAATAGGTGTGCGGGACCAGGGTTGAACAAAGGAGTTAATTTTATTGACGAAGGAGCAGGTTGGGAGCAAAGAAGTGTGGATTCAGCTGACGGTTCATTGGCCAGTCACGGGGCAGTTCACACATGGAGAGGTGTGAAGAGGCTTTTTGTCAGATAACTGGAATTTTGAATTTCTGTTGGTGGGGCCCTTCACCTTCGGGTAGCCCCCTTCTCTGTGTTAGTGTCTGTCCTCCACTCAGCCTGGGACTCAGCTCAAGGTTAGTCCCTAAGCCTCCAGGCTCTGCTGTGTCTGTAAAATCATGTCTCCAAGACAAGTTTAGGTGAGGTTTCCCCCCCCCCCATTGGTGCCCTAGTTAAATTGTGCTCAATTTAACTAGTTAGCTTCAGTTATACGATCTGTGTGCCCATCAAAAGGTAATCCCGCTTCTTGGGCACCAGATTCACCCCTCGCCCGGCAGGATTATAGCTTTCTCTTCGTTGGTTGAAATTTCACTCTGCTGGATTATTGCAATCAGCATGCAAACTTTCTATTAATTTTCCATGTTAACAAATGCTCCCTTTGACCCTTTTCCCTGCCAGCTGCTACCTCACTTTTCCAGGCTTTATGACAAAACCCCTCAAAAGAGTTGTCCGAACTCACTGTCTCCAATTCTTCTCCTCTCCCTCATAAACCTACTCCAGTCAAGCCTTCACTTCTACCATTCCGTGACCATGTTTGTGTCAAAGTCCCCAAGGCTACCGGTTGATTTCCACCTCTCCTCTCACTCCACCCACCAGCAACGCGCAAGCCGGTAGCTCGGCCTCCTCCACACGCTTCCCGCACTCGGCTTCCCGGTGACCACGCTCGCCTCGTTTTCTGTCCACCTCCCTGGAGCCATCTCCTCAGCCTCCTTTGCGGGCTCCTCCTCTTCTGCCCAACCTGTTAATCACAGAGTGCCCCGATTCTTGGTCTTTGATCTCTTCTCTTTCCTTTCCACAGTCACCCTGTTTCACAGTTTCACATTTCACCAATGGGCCTACAACTCTCAGTCGGTATCTCCAGTCCCAACTGCTTTCATTAGGTGTCCCAACACGTCAGAAAGTGAGCCGCATCTTCACTCTGCCGATGTCTTCTTCATTCCTGCTAATGGCAGCTCGGTGATTCCAGCCTCTTCATCTAAAAGCTCTGGGGCCACCCTTGACGTTGACGTCTGCTTTCTCTCCTATCCCACGTCTGCTGATTCAAGTCACGATCACTTGTGATTTCATTCACTGGATCCCATACTTCGCTACACACTGGAATCACTCGAGGATATTTTAAATATATCACTAATACCTTGCTCCCACTTCTTGACATTCTGATTTAACTGGTGTGGGATAGGACCTGGGCACTGGGATTTTTCACTAACCCCTGGGAATCACTGGCATGGGTATAACAGTCACTGACCTGACCTCCTTGCCTCTGCCTTCTCCCCCACAGTCTATTCCCAACAAAGCAAATAATACTTTGAAATTGTGTATCAGATATCTCTGCTACACACTCCAATGGCTCCCACTGCCACTCAGTGAAAGTTGCGATGGTTACAAGGTTTTACATGAGCTGCACTGTCCCCCGCCTTACCCCATCACTTCTCTGACACACACATCCCTTCACTCACTGCTCCACTGACACTGCCCTCCTTGAAGGCACCAGTGTCCCTCATGTTATGACCTGTGCGCTGTTCCTTCTACCTGGAATACTCTTTCCCCAGAGAGCTGCATCTCAAGTATTAGCTCAAATATCACCTTCTCATAACCCCTATTTAACATTTGCAACTATATTAACCACCTCTCTCTTTCTCCTGTATGGGGTAAAAGTGATGAGGTGGATGATGGCGTCTTTAGATAAGACTGGGGAAAGAGGGGGCCTCCCGATGGCGCAGCGGGCTGAGCGCTGGGCTGTGAAGCTGTCCGCAGCCTCTGCAGTGCCGGTTCGATTCCCGGCCAGACAGAGAGATTCCCACATGGCATGGCAGACCTCTCCTGCCTCGCCTGCTGCTCTCCCCAGCAGTGTTTTCGCCTGCCTGTTCTGCTTCCCGCTCTGGTGAATTCTCTCACTCTCCTGTGCCTCTGGCCTGTACCCCGGTTCTTGTATACATAAACCCTTAAAAAAAAAAAAGAGTGGGGAAAGAGCAGATTTGGAGTAAAAATAGAGCCCTGAAATATTGTCTGAAATGCACATTAGATCCCGGTTCTAACAAGATGTCAGATAGGGATGAACTTGGGGCTGGACTATAAGAATGGGAGTAGATGGCGTTTAAAGCCATGGTACTTTGGAGAAAGAAAAAGCTGAGAAGCAAACCCTGTGTACACCAAGTTCTGAGGTGAGTCAAAGTCCACCAAAGAGATTGAGAAAAAGTAGACAGAGTGAGAGCAAAAGGCAATGTCATGAACAACTTTCAAAAATGATAATTTCTGTCAGTTGGTACCAGTGTGACAGTAAGATAAAGACAAATAAGCACTGCTGAACTTTGCATGATGGAAATCACAAGGCTTGACCAGGACAGTTTGCTCTTGGTGGTGTGGTCAAAGACCTGGAGCTATGGCCATTCTAGTGGGAAGAAGGAACTGCAAACAGCACATATTCCTGTCTTCGTATGCTAAGAAGAGTGGTTTTTAATTTCTGGCTCATGAATAGGTTTCAAGAAAACATACCCCCAAGTCCAGCCACCAAACTGCCAAAATGTGGGCTTAGGCATGCTTGTCTGGGGACCCCCCCACAGCACGGGTGATGGAAATAGCAGGCGTCCTTCATCTGAGACCTTGGGGACTGCTGGCCCTCTAGTGTCACTTGGTTCCCGCCAGGTCTCTGCCGGGTCCTGGCGCCCCACCACTCCAATGGGCAGTATTGTCATTTTTGGAGTCTGTGGGTTTGGATTGCAGGGTCCGTGGGTTCACTCTGGAAAAGATGTCACCAGAGCTCCCATTTCAGCGACATATGGAGAGTTTCCTAGCGAGTTTCTTCACGAGACAGAGACATTAGTTATAATTTAAGGGCAGCTTTATTAGGGAAGGGATAAAACAGTTAAAGACACCTGCATAGACACCAGCAGGCAGGAAGAGCTGCCCCAGAAGGGACAGGTTTGCTGAGACAGGCCTGCATGGTTGCAGGTGGGCGGCCTTGACGGGTCACGGGCAGGCAGGAGGCTGCTGCCCTGCAGAGGGAGAGAGTTGGTGAGAAGAGGCACCTGCAGAGGCACAGGCGGGCAGTGGGCGTGCTGCCCCAGCCTGCAGAGACTCTACCAATATAGTCCTCTTCTGTGTGGGAGGGGCCACCCCTTGCGCGCTGTCGGTGGGTTGCTGGTTTGGGGTAACTACGTGGAATTTGAAAGGGACCAGAGAGTCTACAGTGGCTCAACTCCACATCTTCACGCTCGGGCCTGTGCTCCGGGCAGCAGTCTGAGTCCTCTTGGATGTCACGCTGTGTAATCCCGGCGTCCACGCCTGGGGATACTGGTTCCCGCAGCTGCGCGACGGTTAAGCTAATCTCTTCGGCCCCCACCTCCTTGGGGGAGCCGGTTCCTGGCCTGGCGGCGCCTCCTTTTTAGTGTTTTTCCTGCTCCTGTCCTCCACGGGCAGCACCCGGCTTCCGCACCTCCTCTCTCCCCTTCTTGGCAACCTCCACGGCCACACTCTGGGCTTCCAGGCGCGGCCTCTGCACGTTAGCTTCCCCCGCGCGCCGCCCGGGTGGAGCTCGGAGCACCCGCGGCCTTGGCGCCTGAACAGGGAGCTCGGCCGCCGCTTCCCCCCCCCCCGCCCCCGGCAGCCGCCCCCGCCCCCCGGCGGCCGCCCCCACCCCCGCCCCCCGCAGCCGCCGCCGGGGGCGGGGCGGGCCTTGGCGCGCGGGCTTCTGGGAGGCGCTTTACGGCCACGCGACGTCATTTTACGACGGCGTGGCGTCGCTTACGGCTGGCGGGCAGGCATGGCGGCTGTCCAGTGACCCAGAGAGCCGACGCGGGAGCTGCACCGGCCCTGGGACTGCTGCTCCGGCGCGTAGAGATGAAGCAGAAGCGGAGAGGTGCGGGAGGCCGGGGAGGGGGACAGGGGGGCGGGACTGGGGGGCCGGGGCGGGACAGGGGGGCCGGACGGACGGGGGAGGCCGGGGCGGGAGGGGGAGGCCCGGGAGGGAGGCCGGGGCGGGACTGGGGGGCCTGACGGACAGGGGGGGCCTGACGGACAGGGAGGCCGGTCCGGGAGAGGGGGGCGGGGGGGGAGGCCGGGGCGGGACTGGGGGTCTGGGCGGGCCAGGGAAGGGGCGAGCACCTGGACGGGCAGAGACGGAGCCGGACCTTCCCCGGGGGTCCGCTGCCCGCGCCGGCCTGCTGCGGGGGGCAGCCCCCCGCCTTCGGGCTACTCTTGTGCTGTTTATGTCCCGCCCGTGCCCGCCGTTTGCCGTCACTGGGCGTCTGGTGTGTTCACGGGGCAGAAAAGCCTCCAAGGAGTTCACGTTCTCGGCCTCAACCTGCTGAGATTTGTTTTACGACGCGTCCCACGAGTTGAGCTTCTTTAACTCGAGGTTTGTTTTAACTCTGCGTTGAAAGAGAAACGCCGGGGGATTCTCGACTCGGCGGGGCAGACCCGCAGCCTTTCTCCTTCGCCTTCCCCCTGGACCTGGCCCGGGACAGCTCCCTCCGTAGTTCTCAGCGGGATGCAGTCGGCGGTCGGGTGTGCTGCCCGCGCCTCTGGGCCTGTTTCTGTAGCTCCCTGGAGCCCTCGGTCTAATAGATGATGGTCGTGGAACTATCCACTGCCATTTATTGAGCGATTACTAGCAGTTCCGAAGTGGGTATCACCTCCGTTTTTACAAATGAGGACATTAAAATGCAAAGAATGAACTAATTTTTTCTAGCCCAAAATGATACTTAGGAAGTGGGGCTGGTTGGTCAGGCTGGCTCTGTGACCTCCCCCCATCCCCACTATGGAGGAAATAATCTGTCCTTAATCAGCTGCCTCTGGCATCAGTTGCTATTTCTCGTTCCAGCAACAGCCCCAGGTGTGCAGAGTTACTTTCATTAGTCGGCCGTCTTACCCCGCCTGTCCTGAATGAATGTCTTCCCTTATAAACATGCTCCTCACTCGCAGGCCAGGCAACTTTCCTCTTCATTTACCTGCCACCAACTCCTGCCGGTACTTAGAAGTCGCCTCTCGGGATAGTTTATTCCCCATCATTCTGACTGCCATTCTCCTAACCCCGCTTCGTCAGTAACGACTTTTTAATAATATTTTGGTTTTTGTTTACGTTATTTCGATGGATTCTTACAGCAGTCTTGTGATGTGCGCATTATACTGATTTTATAGGCAAGCAGAGGGGAACTTAAGAGGTGTTGATCTTGTTAGCAGGAAACAGCAGGGATTTATTTGGAGGAGGGGTTGGGGACTGTGTCCAAGTTTTCAACTTTAAATCTTGTGATTTTTTTTTTTTTAATACTGCCTTTCAACAGTCTTTTATTTTGTATCCAGATTCTGTATACTTTCTTCACCTTCTTGAATAATTTTTTGTGTCATTTCAGTATATTTTGCATACTTTCTTTAAACTGTGTTTTAATCTTTTTATTCCTAAATAACTTTCACTATCACTTGCATCCTATTTCAGTGCCTTGCCAGGGTACTTGATACAGTGACCGGTTCCTTACCCAGCCCTGTCGGGAAGCCTGCATTCTGGTGAGGCGCTTCCTCACAAAGCTAGGCGATTCCCTTCTCTGATGTTCCTCTGTTTTGCCCTCTCCTTTGTTTGTCCACCTCCTCCCCTTTCTTTCAAGACCCCCCTGCCATTTCCTTCATGAAGCTTTGTCTTACCAATTCACTCTTACAGTTAATTCTTGATGCTTTCATAGGCTATACAAGTGGCTTTTTGGTCTTTGTCTATTTTAGTCACCTGAGTCCTCTCTTCCCTACCAAAGAATTTGAGGATCCATATATATAAACAAAAAGGTGGCGTTCTTTGGTTGACATGGACAGAGAAGCCTGTCCCTCTGTTTCCTGTCTCCCCCTCCCCTTTTACCACCACCAGCCTCACCTTGTGCATGGCCCCCAAGGCACCTTGTGGAGCTCCGGAGAGCTGAGTCACATGGTTCAGAAAGCATTTAACCTTTGCTAATAGATGGGTTTATTTTTTTCCTCTCAGATTATTTTGTGTTTGTTAACTCGAACTCATTAAGTTAGAGGCAATGAAAAAAAAACCTGAAAGTTGTGGAGAAAACACTTGGATGTGAGTCTTAACGCTGCCCTGTACTTACAGCAGTCTCTTCACTGCCGTAGCTTTCCAGATCTGTAAGATGGAAACGCAATTCCTGCCTTAGTATTCGTGTGAGGTTTCACGTGAGATAAAGTAGATGAAAGGACTTCAGACTTTCCAGGGCGTTCTCATGTGTGCTTCTCTCTGATGACTGCGTTGACTTTGTCCACCAACTTTCTGTCAGCCTGCATGCTGGCGGCACAAGCCGAGAGCTCACAGCTGTTACTGCTGTGGGGAGATTGGCATTTTTTGCCTTGAGGAAAAGAGCCAGATTGGCCTGACTTACAGGTGCCCACCCTTGAATCTGGCAACTGTGATTGGGAATGTGGAGTCCTGGAAGAAGTATCCACCTCTGCAGCTGCCTTTTAGATGAGAAGGGGAGCCCCAGTGGTCAGGAGAATCGCGGTGGTTGCCAGATAGTACCTTGGAGAGGCATGAAGATCCTTAGACAGGTAGAGCATCCGCAACCCTTCTTGGAGTACTGTTTCAAACACCTGGGTTTGAGTTTTAACTGTCCCCTTGGTGGGGAATTTTTATGAGCCAGATAAGTAGTCCTCTTACTCTGTTCTGAGAATCAGATGAAATGATGCACCTTAATGTACCTTGTGGGTTGTGTCATGCAAGTATCAGTCATATCAAATCTGGAGAGAGGGGGAAGCGATTTTTAACTACCATGACCCTTGCTTGTGTGCACAGGTTCTTTCTCCCAGGCTTGTGTCTCCTCTGCTGTCATCCTCGTGGCGTCTGTGCTTCCACAGTGAGCTTTTCCCATCTATAGGTGAAGCCTGATTTCTTTTAAACTAAAGACAAAAGATATGCTCAAATTGTAAACAATAGATATTTAGTGTCTTGGGAACTTGAATGTTCACTTGGCATATTTGGAATGATTTTGGAAGGAGACCAGCTGATAAACTGTTACTGAATCATATGATTTTTTACATTGTCAAATATTCTCTTTCCAGGAGATCTCAGCCCTGCTGAGTTAATGATGCTAACCATAGGAGATGTTATTAGACAACTCATTGAAGCCCATGAACAGGGGAAAGACATCGACCTGAACAAGTAAGTGACCATGGCAACGAAGGTCCTCTGGCTCGGCAGTGGATCTTTTTATGGAATTGTCAAATACTGCTTGTTTTCTATCTTATATTTCATTTTCTAGTTAAGGATTTTAGTTTTCTGTCTTCCCTGTTACATATTTATGGCAAAATTGTCTCATGGCATCATATTGCTTCTAACAGCTATTGTGTGCTGTGTTCTGCTCACTGTTTGGAGTACATTGCATGAGGTAGCAACTCCTGTCCCCCTCATGAGGCGTGGGGAGTTAGGTTATTTGCCAGGAGTGAAGATCTAGTGATGGGCAGAGCGGGGCTGGGGCCTAGGTCACCTGGACCGTGTCTGGAGCTCATTCTCCTCCATGTCACTGCACGTCCTTCTTCCCTCCCTGCTGCTTCAAGGAAGCAGTTGCTCTCTGCCAGGAAACTCTCCCTTTAGGACCCTGGATCTAACCCAGCCCTTCTCCGCTCTAGAACCTCTCTGACAATGTTCATCGTCCTCCTCTGCCCAGGCACCTTCAGCCTTGAGCTTGTCAAACCCTTACGTAAGCATGATCTTTCACATCTGCGTTCTTTTTTTCCTTCATTATATACATCTGCTCTAATAAAAGGATCTGTCCCTTCCTCCCCCTCCCCCCAACTTTTCCATGACCAAATCACCACATGAAGACCCTTTTCCTGTTCACTGAAATGCTACATACTCCTCTTGCTTGGAACATTGTGCTTAGTTAACATTTGTGATGGAAATAAGTCATCCCTATCTTGACTATGGAGAGGTCACATTTTACTGATTTTCCCACCTTGTCTGGAAGCACTTGTAGTTGTCATGGCAGGGAAGGGATTGTAATGGCTAGAGGCCAAGCTCGGTGCATCCTGCAAGCTCCTGAAGAGCCCGCACACTGGTCAGAGCCCAGATGCAGCGGTGCAGAGCTCAAGGAAGGCTGAAGAGGACTTGGAGGCTGGAGCGCCATTTTGATGAGACCTCCACTGTGTCATCTCCCTGGAGTCATCTGGTTTTCTTTTTGGGACTCCAGGGTGAGAAGAGGATGTTATTCATTCATGAATTGTGTTCTGTTTCCCTGATAGTCACAAATGTTAAAGCTGCTGCTGTCATCTGGGGAGAGGATAGGTGTTATATGTGGGTCATCCTTGTGATAGCTTGTCCTTGAAATCTGTGGTCCTGAGAGTGCTAGATGCTTTACTTCCAGGGTGAAAAACAGGACAGCTGCCAAATACGGCCTTTCAGCACAGCCCCGCCTGGTGGACCTCATTGCCGCAGTCCCACCTCAGTATCGAAAGGTTTTGGTGCCCAAGTTAAAGGCAAAACCCATCAGAACTGCTAGTGGGGTAAGTGATTTGTGTCATAAACTGTGGATTGTGTGTCCAGTCTACCAGAAATGTCTGCTGCCATGAGCACCAGGGAGATGAAAGTGGGGGGTCCAGACTAATAAAATCCGCATGTTACACTCTTTGCTGGAGTGGAGACGTGCAGTGTACGTGGTACCCAGCGAGGGACAGTGCTGTGCTGGAGGAATAGGTGACCCTGGTGTTTTCAAACATACAGATTGAGGCTTGATGACTGTCCTAGTGTGGTAACTGCTGTTGCCTGTGATGAACTCCCATATAATTGATACTCTCCAAAGTTACCTTTAAAGGTAGTTAATGGTGCCAAGTCGTCTGTCCCTGTAAGATCATGTCGGATGGTCGGCCCAGCAGGGAGACGAGATGGCCCTGCAGGAAAGGGACTAGCTAGCAGGCGCAGAGCTTGCTTGACGTACACATGGCGCTCACCTTAGCAGAGGAGTCACGGGAGCCAGGGCACAGGAGCTGGGGCAGTATGGGTGGTGTGTGCAGGGCTCAGCGCAGCCCCACACTGTGGGAGTTGATTATTCCTTTGGGAAATCCATAGGATCTTGGGTTGTGAGTGGTGAGTTTGGGATCAGCTTGTAAAAGATCTTCAGTGTCCCACAAAGAAAGAGAATGATGGGAACCTGTGCAGTGGTGACCCGCAGGGCCTGGTGCAGGTGTAGCACCTACCGCGGGGTTGGAGGGGGCGGGTAACATGTGGTGTAGAATTTGTCTCTTCAGGCTGGACACTCCTCTGGCTTTCCTTCCTTGACTTAATTGGTTTTTCGGTTTGGAAGATTTCATGCAAGTCATTTTGTTGCTTGCCCTTGATCTGGCTTCATCGGTGTCCTCCTGGGATTCAGTTTATGCGCGGCCGGCATGTCTCAGTGATAACGTGTCCTCCTGTGCCCTCTTGGGGGTGTTTGTAGTTTCCATCTGTCCTGTCTTATGGATGTTCTTTTGGAGCAAGGCTTGAAAAATACAGCTCTGCCAGGACCTTGGAAACCCTGCCATCTACTCTCTGCATCCTTTCCCTCCTTCCTAGAGAGAACCGCTGTCCAGAATTCAGTGTCAGTTATTCTATAATAGCTTTTGCTACTCTCTCCTAGATTGCTGTTGTAGCTGTGATGTGCAAGCCCCACAGATGTCCACACATCAGTTTTACAGGAAATATATGTGTGTAAGTACATGATTTTGATGCGTGTGTGTGTGTATGCACGTTTTTAATTACACTAGTAAGCTCCTTAGAGTCTTGACCTTGCATACTGGTAGTATTTAAAATTTTGATTTAATAGGTTCATAAGTTATTTTTTTGCAACATGCGGCCATTAATAGGATTTTTCAGTGCCTTAAAAATGGAACATATAAAATTTTTAATTTGTTGCAATATTAATGAATATACTTCATTTCTAAACCTCAAAACACTAAGCATTCTGTTAACTCGGTAAATGAAGTGTGGAACTATGGGCTGCCTAAAATCCAGATGTCAGAAATTTAACATAAATTTGGATCAGGAAAATATCAAAATAAAAGTTTATCCTGGATTCTAGGTGGGAAAATGAAATGGGAGAAAGATTTATTTTCAGTTAGCAGAGATCAAGAACACTGTAAGCCTCAGGCCACACTCAGAAAAATGTAGATCTGCTCGTCTGCCTCAGAAGCTCACATGTTAGTGACTATTGAATCTGAAGGTGATTGGAATATAGTCCTTTATGTGCTTTTGTTTGTTAGTCCAAACTATTTATTTTTAGATACTGCAAAGGTAGACTCTGGGATTTGAAAAGAAAGCCCATTGGCTAGCAAGATTTTTTGGAAACTGTAGATCCTTGAGCTAGCCTGGTGACTGGCCTTGTGCTGACCTCTTCCTCCTGCTCCTGTCTCGGTAGGTACTGCCCCGGTGGACCTGACTCAGATTTTGAGTATTCGACCCAGTCTTACACGGGATATGAGGTAATGTGAGTCTCCCAGAGTGTTATGTCACCTGTTGCCTGTAGTGTGCTTTTTTACTGGTACTACCTTGTGAAAATTTTTATTTTTATCCTGATGCAAAAGTTGTTCATTCACAAATATTTGCTGAGTGTCTTTGCTGGAGAAATACTTTCATAAGCACTTACCGTTAACATGTGTCAAACACTATTTTAAGTGCTTTACAATTTTACAATTTTAAACCTTACAGCATTGTTTGACGGCAACACTATTATTACCCCAGTTTTGGGGGTAAGGAAACTGAGGCCAGGAAGGCTTAAGTGGCCATGAGGCACCTGCTGGTAGGCGACAGCCACATGTTAAACTCAGCTCCTCATCACCACGTTGTGCTGCCACTGCAGCTGTGAAAACTAGACGGGACCCCTAGCCTTCCAGAAACTACCTTTGCGTAATGGGAAGTAAACAGTAAGCAAGCAAACAAGCAAAATACGAGGTACTAGGACCTGCTATGCAGAAAAGTGGAACTGAGTGTAGTGGCAGCAGCCAAGTGGGCGCCCTGTCTCTGGTGAGTGGGATTCTCTGAGAAGATTTGAACTGAGGCCTAATGACAAGATGGAGCTGGTCACAAGTATGTCAGGAGAACAGTCCTAGCAGAGAGAGAAGATCCTTGGCAGGAATGATGTGGTGTGTTCTGGAACAAAGTAGGGTGAGCCTAGAGAGAAGGTGGGGGAAGGTTTTGTAATCCGGGCCACTGAGGTTTAAAGAGAGAGAGAGATACTCTGATGCCAGTTTGACAGGATGGCTTGATGGCCTTGGGGGGCATGGGCTGGAGTGGAGGAGGAGACCAGTGAGCAGGCTTTGGAAGCAGTCATCATCTTCAGAAGAGCTGGGCAGCCAGCAAACCCTGTGCCTTTTTCTTTTCCTTATATATGGTTTTTCATATTTTCCCATGGTTCAAATCTTTAAAAATACATGATTCTCGTTCCTGTCTCCTAGCCACTCTTCTGTTCCAGCCCCACCCCCTCAACAGACATTTAGTATTATCTCCCTCCTGTTCTGTATCCTTCAACAATGTGTGGCTGTTCAAGCATTCATAGGCCTCATCCTGCCTTGTACACGTACAGTAGTGTGTCAGCCTTGCACCTTGCCTTTTTCATTAACAGTGTATCTTAGAGATCATTTTAAATTGTTTCTTCCATTGTATAATTTATAAGGTTTTGTGATAACTCATTTTACCAGGTGACTCTAGAATGTGTGGGCACACCTGTGTCTGAGTAGTGTAACAATGTGGTGATTGTGGGGACTCTTAAGTGCTCATGTAAAGCCAGGTAGGTGTGATCCCAGGAGACACTCAGGACAGAGTCTGGAGACTAGCCAGATGCTGCACAAGACAGTTTCAAACCCCTGACGAGATGGAGAAAGGAAGAAAGGAACACACGTCAGTTTTTGATATTCGAAATCATAGAGAATTAATATTCTTTAAAGAACCCTTTTGAAAGTGCTATTTGTGTTTATTTCAATCTAGGCATAATGGTAATTTTCTTTTTTTTTTAAGCCAACCTCCATGCGAGCTATCCGTGCTAGATATGACCCTTATCTACAGACAAGACACCGAATAGAGCAGGTGAGTTTTTTGAAATGCATTTTAAGTGAGATTTTGTACTTACAGGGTATTGTGGCTTGATTTGAGTTGAATAATTCATTATCATTATGGTACAAATAAGAACTGAGTATTTTTCTCTTTTGTAAGTTTTCTTATCCCTCTGAAGGAGGGAGAATATTTTGTATTACCTAGCAGGGTCAAAAGCACTGTTTGTTTTTTTAGGGACTGAATTCTTTAACAGTTTTATATTCTCTAAATTTCTTTCAGAGTGTAGACAGTCATTTATGGCATGAAATTTACAAATGTGCATGCATGAAACTTCAGCCAGGTGGGTGGATGAATTTTTAGCTCCATGAGCCAGAGCAGAAGTATTGTGAGTGCTGGGCTGGGGTGGAGGCATAGCTGGCTGTGGAGTCTACGAGGCACTTTGGGGCTGAAGGGGTCTCTATCACAAGAGGTCTCTATCACAAGCTGTGCCTACATAGCTCCAAACACTTGCCAGAACTCATCCAACCACATGTCTAAAGTTTATGGACTTTATTGTGTGTAAGTTATAACTCAATATAGCTGAGTAAAATCAAATACAACAATGACCTTGCTCTGTTCAAGAAATCTGAACATGAGCACAAAATCTCTTCTTTACAATTTTTTTTACAATTTTATTTTAACTCAGTGTTTAAACCCGAGTCCTGTTTGCAGTGTCACAGTAACACTGGTGGGACAGCAACAAAACTGCAGATGGTGGTGTGTGCACCCCAGGCGGGAGGCGCTTCTGGGTTATGGAGCTGGTGTTACTCGTGAGCAGCCAGTTCTCATCTATGCTCCGCTGTCACCAGCATGTGTGGAACCAGGGCTGTCTGTCATAGGGGAGGACCCCATGGTGCCAGCGGCGACAGGGAGGGGCTGTGTAGTTTGGAAAAACATTTCTAAATGGAGCATCGCTCCCGTTTCTTTTTAGTCTTGATCCGTAATTCATTGAAATGTTTGAAAATCAATTGCACTGCAGGCTTGCTTTCCAGAAAAGAAAACAGTGTAATGTTTGTTTACCAAAAAGGGGCAGAGGTCCTAAAAGATAACAGGACTGCCAAAGAGAGGTGATTCTTCCTACCTGTAAGAATCACTGAGTAACTTTCCAGTTACTCACCCTGGGAGGTTTTCATTAGAGTCTGCTTGACGGTAATTCACAAAACTGCCAGGATGATTCTGTTTGTTTCCCTGTGAACAACCATGGGTACGAAAATCCTTCTCATGTTGGTATGTGTTTGCACGTGTGTGCTCTTATGCATTCACAAGTGTGAATAAATATGCACACACACTTACATTTGTATAAATTGTCATTTTCAGAAATGTATTTTAAAAGGTGCCTTTTGTCAAGATTAATGGTAGGCATGCCCTTCAAAGAGGACATTAATTTGAGCCATGGTTTGGGAGTCTGCTTGAGCCTGTTTTTCTCAAACCTAAGATACTGTACAAATTGAAATCTTGGCTTACTGCAGGTGACAGAATGAAAGAGGTGCATTATTCTCCCCCTGGTAGAGAGGACATTATTTTACCTGACTTTTACTTCCTTTTTTTTTTTTTTGATAAAGCAGGCTCAAGGTGCCCATATACCAGAATCTTCACAATTAATTTGAGACTTTGTTTTCATTTAAATCTGCTTCTTAGTTTTTCTGACCTAGTGTTCTCTTTCTTTCATTTGCATTAAGTCCTTACCGTGTTGCGTGTATCCTATTCTCTGCCTCTGGGCTCACCGCTAAATTGGGCATAAGACACATCATCATTAGGTCATTTGCTGTGTTAGACATAGTGTTCTGTTACCATTTAGCTGCCTATACCCCTTTCTGGCTTATATGTGTTTTTAAATTTCCATTAAATTCTGTAAGTATAGATGTCAAGCTGATTATTTTTAATTCTCCTCTTCCTTTGGGCTATTGTTTTTTGTTCTTTCAAACTCTGTCTTCTTTAAGTTCACAGAATTGGCTAATACATTTAATTGCTTCGCATTTTTAAACTATACTGATGAAACACTGCAAAATACAGTTAGAAATTTGTGATGTCCTCTTAGAGTAGTTGCCTGTGCCTTTCTAATGCTGATGTATTTGTCTTTCAGTTAAAACAACTTGGCCACAGTGTGGATAAAGTGGAGTTCATCGTGATGGGTGGAACATTTATGGCCCTTCCAGAAGAGTACAGAGATTACTTTATTCGAAATTTACACGATGCTCTATCAGGACATACGTCCAACAATATTTACGAGGCTGTCAAGTAAGAAATCCTCCTTTTACCCCATTCTCCAGGTGGTTGTCCCTTCTCCTCCCAGCAGCAGCCTGTGAGGACTTGTGCTCTGCAGCTCCGCTCCTAGTTCCTCCAGCTACTTGTTTTGTGGGCAAGGATTATTTTCGTTGAAATAATCTCTTTTTTAAAAAAGGATGTCCACTGACATAGTAGTATTCTCAGAGACTGATTCACAAGAATCACTGTGAAGATTGTTTTGGCCAGGGTCTCATCTAAAATGCAGGAGCCGTTGAGATTGGGTCAGCTGAGTTTTCAATACTTCCTCCCCCAAGAAGGGTGTAGTAGTACTATTTATCTAAAACACTTAGCTGCTATAAAATCAAAATAACTAACTTACTAAATAATTATCATTTCATTACTAGTTATGGGACAATTTTATGAAATTATTCCAAATTCTAGTTGACAAGATAAGAGAATTATGCAGTCTTTTGAAACCTCATATCTTAGTTTTTAGCAAAAAAGAACACTAAGGTTTTCACATATAGTTCAGTGATTTAAGATTTTCAGAAGTTTCAGGAACGCCTATATACTTCCTGCTCTCTGTGATTCACTGAAATGTGCATTGAGGGCCCACTAAGTGTCTAGTGCTCTGGCTTAGACTCCGGGACCAGCATGGTGAACATGGCAGGTGTTCTTATAGATGCTGGTGCTTACAGTCTGCCTCAACACCAGGAGCTGCGATGCAGGTAGACTCCCGTGATAGAAAATAAATAGGATGATCGTCTAGACGGAGTGGGGGTATTTAAGCTGCAACCTAAAGGAAGGATAAGGGTCAGTCCGGGCAAATGGAACTTGGGGTGTTTGGGGAATAGAGAAGGAGTAAGAAGGCACCCAGGTTCTGGCTATAGGAAATGGTCGACTGTTAGTGCCTGTTCTGTGAGGGTAGAGGGGGGAGGAGCAGCTTTGTGGAAGGGAATCAAGAGTCTCGCTGTGGATCTGCTGTTTGAAACGTCTCTGACACATGGGGTGGCAAGGCCAGGGAGGCTCTGTAAGGGACAGCTGGGCTGCCATACAGAACTGGGGCTGCCATATGGAATTGGGGTTCACAGGGCCAGAGGCCCCACAGGAGAGTCATACCGCCATAAGATAGACTGCGTGAGAAAGCAGCCTTCACAGCAGCTCTTGGAGTGTGAGCCCATCATCCTTGTGCACGTGTGTAAATGCTCATGGAGTCCAGGACAATGAGCCACATAGCACTAGTTAGACGAGAGAAGAGGGAAAAGAGAAAATGTTTACGTTTCCTGTTTGCAGTGTGCCGGGCACTGTGAGAGCTGTGTTAGTCATTTAATACAGTAGGCCTTCCAGTTAGGTATTTACGTCATTCCTGTTTTACAGGTAAGGAAACTGAGGTACAGAGAGACTGAGCAGCTTGCCCAGAGTGACACAGTTGGTGGTGGTGGCTGTGGAGCTGGCGGCTCTGCTTTCAGGGCCTGAGCTGTGCCAGGAGATGTCCTGGGTGAGAGTGTCCGCCGCGGTGCGTCGGCAGAGCGGGGGAACCCTGGGAGAAATGGGTCTCTCTTCTTGCACATCCTCTTCTTCCTCAGCCTTTTTTTCTGGCTTTTAGAAGGTGGAGGAGGGAGAGGTTGCAGGGAATATAGATAATTTTAAAGTTGTTCAAATAGTGGCCACGTGGAGAATTAAGCAGGGTGATGAACGGGACCAAATTTTGAATGGCCCTAAGGGTGGGTTGCGTGCCCCATCTTGCAAGTGCTTCTTAGCACCTCGAGGCCCGAGTCAGCAATGCATGGATGCTGAGTGAAGGATCAGGTGTAGGTCAGTATTGACAGCTGAGCACCTGCAGAGAGATGTCTTTTTGCGCCCTCCCTACTTCCTCTCTCCCCTTAATGTTTTTGTCCTTTGGGTTTGTGAAAATGAAAAGAATATAGAGGTTTTTAATGGAAGCATACCATCCTGGTAGCCTGAGAGACTTGAGTGAGGAGTTCAGGAACTGGGAGTCTGTGAGCAACCCATTTCATTTGCTTGCCTCCAGAGACGTGCTTATGTCCATGAACCTAGAAGTTTAGCCACCGCTGGCCAGGGTGATCCTCCTGGGGTGTTGGTCGCCGCGGGAGTGTGACCGCTGCCCATTCAGAGCCTAGACTGCTCCTGAGTGTGAGTCATGCTTGCTGAAGGCTGAGGTCTTCCAGGCTTTATAGTACTGAAAACCAAATAATAGCTTAGAATAAAATGTAATCTGAGGAGACAACCTTAATTAGTTCAAGCCCCATGATGTTGAATGTCAGTAGTACCTCAGAGAGCTGCTGACTAAAATTCATTCCCCTCTGAGCATTCCCTAGCGGGATGACCTGTCACCACCAGGAAGTTTTTCTCCCCATGCGTGCATGTCTGTCCTGTGTTCTTACTCCTGCTATTCTTATGTTGAAGACCTTTCATACTTAGTGGAATTGGGCTGTAAATATCTTGAACTTCCTCATCGCCTCCCACCCCCATAAAAGTTGGCCCCAAAGCTTTTCGGTCTACATTTTGGGTCCCTGGAGTCATGGGCCAGGCAGCTCAAATCTGCATATTGAATGTTTACAATACAGCTAGTTTGACAGTTTCATCAATGAAAATTTTAAAATTTCTGCCTTACTCTTGGTGTAATGTTTTAGCTTCATCTTTACAAGATGTCCTAGTGCCTGGTGGTATTGGCAGGTCATCTGTTTGGGGGTGAAAGTGCAGTCTTCCATGACACTGATGAGCTTCCCACCGTGACGTGCCTGGACAAAGCCCTTTGCTGGAGAAAGCCGCTGGCCTAGGTGAGGCGGTGCTGCGTGTTTGTCTCCTTGACTTCGCCGTGAGAGGGCAGCACACACTGGGCTTTGAGATAACGTTTCTGTCTGGCCTGAGTCATCTTTACAACAAACCCGTGGCTGGCTCTTGGGGAGTAACAGAGTACAGTCTGGGAGCTATGGAACCGCCCGCAAGGGTCTGTGTTCTCTGAGCACTGCCTGCCCAGCAGTGGCACGTTCTGCCTTTTCTGCAGCTCTGGACACTGGCCTGAGAGTCAGAGAAAGGCTGCGGGTGGCATCTTCGAGGTGAACTCTTGCCACCAGCTCCCTGTAACAAGAGTTGGTGTTTGTAGAGAAACTGGTTTGAGGCAGCAGCTGGGGTACAGTGGTTTGTAACCCAGAACTGGAGACACGGAGAACAGTTTTCAGATGTTAGTGTCTTAGCGAGATGGCGCCAGAGATGCTGTTTCAGCCGTGAGGGGTTCTTCGCCATGCTAGGGTGAGATTTTTATCCCGCCGCCTGTTCTCCTTACCTTGGACAGACTATTCAGGAAAACTGAGTGCACAGGGCCCACCTCCCTGAGGTCTAGTGATGAGCTTGATGTTCGCATGTCATTGATAGTAGTTGTCTCTGCTTGCTTGTCAGTCACACAGATGACTTTCATAGCTTAGCAGAGTGTTTTCTTAAACTTAATTTTAAGTTGGGTTTAAAATTACATATTGTGACAGATGAGTTAACAGTGTTTCAGGTTAAAAGTCTTTGGTAAAACGGGCCAAGGTCTGTGTATATTTGCTCAGTCACCCCCCCCCCACCCCTTTGTCTAGCCTGAATAACTTTTTTTTTTTTTAAGATTGATTTATTTATGCCTACAAGAGCTGGGGTACAGGCCAGAGGTGCAGGAGGTGAGAGGCCCCACCAGAGACAGAGTGGGGAACAGAACAGGCAGACTGACTGGAATACACTGTTAAGGGGAGCAGCGGGCGAGACAGGAGAGGTCTGCTGCGCCATGTGGATTGCTCCCTGGCTGCTTCTTTCTTAAAAGATTATCTTAGAGGCAGGAGCAGCCCTGGCAGGGAGAGTCTGGCTAGTATTCATGCTGCTAGCAGCAGCAGCACATTGGAGCCTCACAGATCGACGAGTTGGGTGGCCCCACCAGCACCCTGAGGACCAGGCAGGCGTGGCTTCCCTGGAGGCTCGTTGGCTCAAGCCGAGTGATGACCACTTGCCCCCTCAGACAGACCAAGGCTCCACGGAGCAGCAGTCCTGGTGACCACTATCCCCTAAAAACCTTGGCTCAGGAGATGAAAAGGACCAGGCGTGGGTTCTGAGTCACCTATTGTTCGGCATGCAGGTGATGCCGGAGAACTTGGAGCAACCTTAGAGAATATCTTTATGCTCCTTGGCTGCTTTTACAGGATGTAGATTCAAAGGGCAGCTGCCCGTCAAGAAGTCTGAGTCAGACCTTCTCCCTGTGGGATTTTTAATTCTTTTCTGTTCTTTCCTCTTATTCCTCCCTTTCCTCCCGCCCCCCCCCCCCCCACCCCATCAATGACTTTAAGTCCTCCACCTCTGTCCTTAATGTGTCTTGGAAAAGCTAGAAGCCGAGGTGATACCGGGAAGATAATTTCATAGGCCTGCAGAGTTAAGGAAAAGCCGAAGCAACCTGAGAAGCCTGAAGGAGCTGTCTCCTGCCTGCTGCCTGGGCCTGGCTTCCAGCGGGAGGTGGCCTCCGGGCCTCCCTGGGCGAGCTTTGTGTCCAGACTCTATATGTCGCCCCTCCCTTTATATGGTCACCACTTTTACTCCCTCCCTTGCCAAGCACATTTTCATAGCCTTGACCAGGAACCTTAACGCTGGCAGTCCAACCTTGGATACAGTCTTAGTCACCTTGAAGGAGATACTAGTTGTTTTTCTTGCAACATTTTATTTGAAACAAAATTGACTTTCCCAGCAAACACTACATACCTGACCCCTGGATCCACAGGACTTCTGTGTCTCACACTTGCCTACCTGTGCTTCCTCTCTCCATCCACCCGCTTCCCCTCCTTGTCTTAATACTCTGCAGAGTAAGTTGCAGACCTGCCCACTGTGCCCCAAGTACACCATCAAGTGCATCATTTACTAGTGTTCACTGTTTGTGCTGGTTTCTTTTGAGCTAAGTGCTCAGATGGCAGATGTGTCATTGGATGCGTGCTGACGAGTGCATATGCCTATGCAAGGAAACCCTGCTGAGAATT